TTCTCACCATCCTTGTCCTTGGCTCTTTGGCACATGACCCTCCTTATTTACCCCCATGGCACTTGGAGCGGTCTCCGTCGGCATCCCGGTTGACGGTAACTCCATGTTTCCAGCTGTCTAGGCCTCGGACCTCGATGTCCTCTTCGGCTCCTCCTTCTCTTATCCCCCACATTCAACCCACCGGGAAACACGCGGATGGCTCTGTCTTGAGAGGCGGGTGCCTGACCACTTTCCACCGCCTCCTCTGCCACCACCCCGTCTTGGTCTGCGCCACTGGAATCTCTCCCTTGGTTACAGAATGGCCCCTCACCTGGCTTTCCTGCTTCTATGGTTGCCTCCTTACGGTGCATTCTCAAAGAAGCAGTCAAAACGATCCTTTTAAAACTGTTCAAACCCTCTAGTGACGACCCATTTCTCCCAGAGTAGAATTCTTACCATGGGCCCGCCAGGCCCCCCAGGTTTACCCGGCTGACACTGAAACTCTCGAGGGGAAAAACATTGTGTTTATAGTTCACTGAAGTATTCCAAGTACCTGAAAATACCTCATGACATAACAGGGGCTCAGTACCTGTATCTTTGGATTAAATGAATGAATACGGTTTACTGACTCATCATGTGTTTTCCCACTGTTGGAATGTAAGATACACGAGGGCAGGGGACTGATTGGTCTTGTTTAGCTTTGTAAACAAAGCACTCAGAAATGCACCTGGCATACAATAAACGCTTGACAAGCTCTTGTTGAAGAGGTAAGTATTTAGTATGAAAAGATTCTGGTATCTCCTTACACTATATTAAGTTAATGAATCTAGTATGCGTACAGGTAGCACAGTCCCTGTTCATCATGCATAGGCAGCTCTCGATGGTGAATGAAGAGTGTTACACAATAAAGCAAAGAATACGCTCTTCATATATTGGAACATCAAGGAAAGCAGTGTGTGGGGTTATGACCCCTCCAAAGTTACGATCACGTAGTGAGCTGGAACACGTCCAGCGCACACCACTATTCTTTCTTCAGCTGCCCCTGCCTGTCCAAACTCTTGTGCTTAACTTCCTCGGGAAGAAGAAAGCCACCGCTTTGCTGGTTGTGTGCAAAACTGCTTACCGTGGGGGCTTTTTTTTTTTAGTTTGTTTACAAAGATGAAAAAAGTCATTTCCCTGTATATAAGAGCAATCTGTATTCTTGAAGGAGAGATTCTCGCTGCCAGTCACTTACATAATCTATTTTGTTTTTCATCTGTGTTGGAGGGCATTCATATCTATATATCCCTGTGTGCAAATGTAGGGAATTCAAAACTATTCTCCGCGATCGTTTGGATTGCTAATCTCTCCAGGGTTTGCTCAACATGTTCAGAGGCAGTTTCTGGCACCGAAGGGAAAAGGGAGACGTTGAGATGCAATTTTATCTCCCAATTGAACTTGATTAAATGGGGACCGTTCTAATCAAAAGTTTGAATCCTCGGGGAGTGCAGTGTTGTTAACGGGCTCGAGCACATTCGAGACGAGCCGGGAAGAGGAGTGAAGTTGAGTCAGAGGTAGAAGCAGGCAAGAAAATAATTGCAGTAAAGCTTATTAAGGCATAAAATTAGGTGAACAAATTGCTTCGCAGATAGTGTTAGGCTCGTTGCGAGACTGGCAAGGGAAGGGGAAGAAAGCTCTTGGAAAACATTATTTTTATTATTTTAATAATTTGTGTAGGAAATCGTAGTAGCTGCAATCTGTTAGCCAGTCACAACCGCCAGCTGGTGTCATCGTGGAGTAACGAGAGTAGGCTGAAGGCAAACATGTTTCCCTTTTCACCTGGAGAGCATTCAATTGCAGAAAATTCCTGTTTATTTTCACCTGAATGGGAGGTCTGCCCTGGTAGATAAGGAGGCTGGTTTATTGCATAATTTAAGAGCTTTGATTAGTTTCACGCCGAGTTCCACGACCCTGATAGGGAGACTACTCCTGGGACAGGGCTGACATCACCGAAGTGACCTATCGTTAAAAATGAATAGCCGGGTCCATGCCTTAATCAGTTGTGTCGTTCCCTGATTCTCTGCCTTGTTTTCCCTGTGGTTCCCTCAAGGAAATGGTGGCACTTCATGAGCTGTTTTTTCTGAAAGCAAAAAAGACATCTCCCGGGATAATGTTCTTGGAAGAGAGTGATAGGTGCACTTATTTATGGAAACACATTTTGTTAGCACCCTCACTGTTACATTGTTTGTGATAATGTTCTCTTCTAAAATTCCCCTGAATAATTTCTTTTAACAATGACATCATCATGTTACATTGCAGTCCCCTTTCCCTTTAATCCGGAAACTCACTGACTAGGTCCACAGTGTCGCAGGCTGTAGAGATTGCTCAGCTTTGCCTTGAAGCCGGAGGGAAAAGGAAAGCAATTTTGTTGTTGTATTGCAATTGCATTGTCTCTCCCTGCCTCTTGACGCACAGGGTCTCTAGAGGGGAGGGAGGAAATTCTGGGCTCTGTTGTTGATGTTCAATGGATTTTTTCAATGGCCATTTGAATGAATTTCGGGGATATTAGGGGTTTCTAATCCTGGCTCTGCTCTCATCTCTCCCTTTCCTTGGTTCAGTTTCCTCATCTCTGAAACGGGACGTTATGCTCCTCCTGTCTCCTGAGCGTTGTTCTGAGGAGCAGAGGAGACAATGACCAGGCAGGTGCTTTCACCGCACAAATTGCCACCGGCACTCAGGCTACACATTTGTGCAGCTGGCAAAGGTAATATTTATCCATGTGATTTCAAGGCACTTTAAAGAAAACAAGAAACATCTCCAATCAAGTAATATAAAAATATGATCAATTTTTTTCTTTGCTCAAGCAAATGTGTATATTTTAAAATAAGAGCACCATAAACTAGACACATTCAGAAAATAACTCTTGGGTGTTTGGTTCTATTTCAATTTCTTGCTTGGGGGGAGTCATGGAATGCCATTAATAGGATTTTAAACTTTGACAGAAAAAGAATCAAGTTAAGATGAAAAAAAAAAAAGCTGATTCATCTTACCTAGCACCTTCCTTACTAACGTGGGCCTTGCCGTGTCAGCAAGGGCAGGTTTGGGGTGGTTTATAGGGTTGAAAAGAGGAGAGGCAGCAGAGCAGGGAAGCTTTGCTGACATGACTCCCACCTGTGCGGAAGAAGAAAAGTAACTTTCAATGGGCAAGCCTGAGTATCCCGGAAACAGATCCGGATCTCCGCCGTGGTTGCGGAGGGGACAGTCTGACAAACGGGAGAGATGGCCACAGTGGCCCAGGAAGAGACAGGGACCTCCTAAACCTGCAGGGAGCCCAGGTGGGCACGTGGCTGACAGGAAGGTATGGAACGCCAGGTGTGGTTGACTGGCCTTGGCAGCGTGGCCAGCAGAGACGTGGTGGTAAGGGCCAGGGGAGCCCACTGCATTGTCTTGACCTTCACTACACGGCCCCTCTCCGCTGGGGTCCAGGAAGACCAGAATTGACCCCAATTGGATGGTACGCCCACCCGTTATCTGAAAAACAGAAATCGTTATTACATAAGGATTTGGTCTTCGGGTAAATGCAAAATTTAGATGTTGACAAAGTTTTGGAAAACAGCTGCAGGCAAACAAGAGCTTATTCAGCTCAAGAAGTAATGGTGTTTGAAAGCCTTATCATCCACGTTGCGGGGGTGGGGGGAAGGGGTGAGCCTTGCACCTTTAGGAGCTCAATGTGTGGACTAGTGCGATGAATTCAGGAGGTGACCCCTGAACTCCTCCGCCTGCCTGAGCGCCGGGCGGCAGCGGTGGGGAGGACCTCCCGTCTGCTGCCGGGAGGCAGGAGGTGCGCGTGGAACACGCAGCCTGATTGGCACGCCGTGGGCGCCCACTGAGTAACGGCGTCTCTCTCCGTGAGTGGATGCTGCTGGAATAAAGTTGTGGAGTTGGACACGCCACGTTTGTGGTTCAGGAAGGACCGGAGGAAAACTCGAGCACCCGGGAGAACGTCTCGGGTGGAAATGCAAAGCGGCCTGGGGCCAATTTCCCCTGCGGCTCTCCAGGGACCGGCCTCCCCTCGCGGAGCCCTGTTTCGGTGAATCCGCCCGGTGGCGGCGCGCAGGTGTAACCTCCGCGCTCAGGCCGGCAGGTTCCTCTGCACTTTCAGACCCAGACGGCCGCCGCCGCCGCCGCCGCGCGGTCTCAGCTGCGCGCCCGCCCGCGGCGCTCTCCCGGCCGCCCCTCGCTCCGCCCGCGCCTTCCGCCCCAGCCCCGCTCGCTCGCGGCAGAAGGGATTCCCAGCGCCGGCTGCCGCCCCGAGCCCGGCGGAGCGGCGGGCTCCTCCCCTGGAAACTCCCCCGGGGCTGGGGCAGGCTGCGGCGCATGCTCCGTACCTAGGGCAGGTTTTCGCTGCGGGTAGCACGGCTCCTGTCACAGCGGCTGGCGGCTTGTGGCGGTGCCAGCCGGCGTGTGCGAGTGTGTGTGTGTGTCTGCGCGCCCGCGCCTGGGCGGACCGACCCGGAGCGGCGGTGCGACTCGCGGGGAGAGGCCGCTCCGCACGGGCGCCCGGCCCGCGGCCGCTGCGGGGGATCCTCTGCAAACTTGCGGCGGGCGCTGTCCGCCCTCGCCGCCTAGGCAGCCGGCACGCGTGCGGGGCGCGGTGCCCGCGGCCGGCCGGGGCGGCGGGGCCGGGCCGCGCCTTCGCCCTTGGCCAGCGCCCTGGCCAGCCTCATGCAGCCCCCGCGCTCGGGGCCGCAGCTGCCCGGCTGCCCGGGGCAGGTCCAGGACCGGAGCCGCTCCACCCAGCGCCTGAGCGCGGGCGGCGGGATGCCCCGCGTGGCCTGAGAGCGCGCCCGGCGCCCCGGCGGGAGCAGGAGGCGGCCCGAGCCGGGAGCTCCCGGGAGCGCAGGGCGCCCCGCGCCGCAGCCTCGACCGCACGCGCCGGCGCCCGCCTGCCCGCTCGGTCCCGAGGCCCGGCCCTGCCCGTCCCCAGCGCCGGAGTGCCGCGGGGCCGCCAGCCAGCCGCACGTCTGGGCGTCAGGGGCATGGAGGATCGGCGGGCTCGGAGCCGCGCCCCTGAGTCCCCGAAACTTCCGAGCGGGCGCCCGTCCGCGCCGCTGCCGCCGCCGCCGCGTTGCCTGCCGGCCTGAGAGCGGGACCATGGATGAAAGGTTCAACAAGTGGCTGCTGACGCCGGTGCTCACTCTCCTCTTCGTGGTCATCATGTACCAGTACGTGTCCCCCTCCTGCACCAGCTCCTGCGCCAACTTCGGGGAGCCGCCCCGCGCGGGGGAGGCCGGCCAGCCCGCCGCCCCCGGTGCCGCCCGCCGGGCACAGGCGCCGCTCGAGGACCCGGAGCGGCGGCCGCAGCTGCCCCCGCCACCCCCGGGACCGCCCGAGGCGGGTCGGGGGGCCGTGGCGCCGGAAGACGAGGACGAGGAGCCCGGGGACCCGGAGGAGGAGGGGGAGGCAGAGGAGGAAGAGGAGCCGGACCCCGAGGCCCCGGACAACGGCTCCCTGCCCCGGTTCGTGCCGCGTTTCAACTTCACCCTGAAGGACCTGACCCGCTTCGTGGATTTCAACATCAAAGGGCGCGACGTGATCGTGTTCCTGCACATCCAGAAGACCGGGGGCACCACGTTCGGCCGGCACCTGGTGAAGAACATCCGCCTGGAGCAGCCCTGTAGCTGCAAGGCGGGCCAGAAGAAGTGCACCTGCCACCGGCCGGGCAAGAAGGAGACGTGGCTCTTTTCGCGCTTCTCCACCGGCTGGAGCTGCGGGCTGCACGCCGACTGGACGGAGCTCACCAACTGCGTGCCGGCCATCATGGAGAAGAAAGACTTTCCCCGCAACCACAGCCACACCAGGTACCGTCCCCTGCCGCCTCCGGCTTCCTGCCCCCTCCCCGACCTTCTCCCCGCAGCAGCCCGGACCTCTGGCCCTTCGGCTCTGCCTGGGCGGGCTCGGTACTTCCCCGGCGTCTTCCCGCGGTTGGGGCAGGGGCTTTGGGAGCGGGGACCGGAAGCCTCCGGACAAGTGCCCTGGTCTTGAACTCTCTCCTGCCCCTCCCTCATCCTCCCTTCCCGCCACCCCCTCTCACCTTCAAAGGTGTCCAGGGCCGCCCTGTGTGTCCTTCCTTGTGCCTAGCACGGTGTGGCGCCCCTCAGAGCAGAGGCTTGGAAAAGCCTGTAAGGGCAAGGAGAGGCCTGTGTCCGATGAACCAGGCCAAAAGAATCTCGTGCTTAAGTTCTGTGAGTGGAAGCCCAAACTGAGGGAAAGGCAGCGCGGGAGTTTTCCAGGCCAGGTGAGGCTGGAGAGAGGAGCCTAATTCCTCTGTACGTGGCCTTTGGGTGCGGGCTCACCAGCTCAGGAACCAATCCTCTTGATGGCACTTTGAAGATACAAGTTCAAATTCCTGCGCTACCTTGATAACCCTAATGCTGGAGGTGGTTTTTTTTTTTTGCTGCTGAGCAATGCCAGGGTTCTGACTCCTGCTGTTCTCAGCAGATGCCTGCTTTCCCCCGGGCCAATCAATCCATCAACTCGTCACACAAGTGTTTGTTGAATGCCTCTGGTGTGCCTGGCAATGTGCTGAATGCTAAGTGGACACAAAGATATAACAAGTAACATCCCTTCCTTTCAAGATAGCATGACCTTTCTCCCCCCACCCCCACCCCTTAAATAGTAATACTGCTGAGAATTAGGAAAGTTTGACATCTTAATAGCCAGTAAAACTGCTTACATTATTAACATCCTTTGAGAGAGGCATAGGCTTAAGAATTTGGTTGAATGTTCTTTCTGCCCATTGCAATTTGAAGATTAATCTGACATGCTTGCTCAAGGGGCTGAAATATTAAAAGCTTGGAACACTAGTTTATTGAAGTTTTTATCTCAAAGGTTTCAAACAATTTGGTGTATGGAGATAGGAATTTAAAAACCCAAGCTCAGTATGTGGATATCAGAGAGCTTTTTGCATTTGACATTATGGAAGAGCTTCATTTACTGGCAGCTACCCAGATTCTGGAATTCACCGCCACTGAAGCATCTAATTCTACTTCATTTCTCCAAGAATGAGCAAAATTTCATTATGGGATTTTTTACTCTGGCAGTTTTTCAAATGCTTTCTCTCCTCCCTGCTCCTTTCCCTGTTTAATGGAAATTGGTTAGAATAAAAAAATGGCTAGACTTGGAATGAAGGCATTAAAACTTCCTTAGTATATTTTAAGGCCCCTTTGCTTTTACATTTTTCCTACTGTGTAGTGTTTTAGATTCTGCCTCTCTGTTTTAGCTTAAGACAGGTTTTCAGTTAATTATTACTTCCATACTTCTTAACAAACAAGAATTATTGCTTCAGTGAGAGGGAATGTCTGTTACATTTTACCCAAAATTGTCCTTTCTGGAGTTAGACCTTTAGATATTAATTCCCGAATAACCCCAAAGAGTTCATTAGTCTGACTCCCAGCCTCCATTTCCCCAAAACTAGAGACTTCGATTGTCATATGAAATTATCTAATGACTCCTCAGTAGGTGTCAGCATTATTTGCTACTGATGTGTGTGAAAGTCTTGTTGAATGGTGAGGATCTAGGAGGAATTAGAGATTATGGAATCTGAAAATAATAATGGGATTTTTTTGCTTCATGATGAAATGATGCTGCTGTAGACCCAGCGTGTAAATTACAGCAGTAATGTTTCACTTCTGAAGGAAATACTCAAGATGTCTCTACTCTGTGGTGGAGGAAGATTCCACCATGGCTATTAGAACATATGGTTTCTGTTGCACAGTCAGATGCTTCCCTTTGTTTAGTAATGGACCATAAACATTCATTTCTTCCTGACTCCCAAGTGATCAGATAACCCCCCTGCACTTGTTTACTTCTTTTTTTTTAATTTTTAATTTTTGCAGAAGTATTTTTTTGGGGGGGGGCGGTAGCACTTTTTATAATCGCTCTTTCTCACCCGTTTCTCCCCTTCCTGGTGTTCTCAATGACGTTTCTTCTCTCGATGTTGTGGTTTGTGTGAGGTGCCCTGCCTCAAAAGCTGTGCAGAAAAGAATTGAAGAGGTGTTCAGTAGCATCTTCCTCACCCAGAAGACTGAACTGGTTGTCTGTCACTGGAGTGTCTGCGTGCGGCATTCTACAGCCAACTAGATTAGCCTGGATACTGCAGGGTACATTTCCACAATGCAAAATGGCAGATAATCTATTGCTACATAATGGGAACAAGGTTCTTCTTCAAATCGGGCTGCCTCAAAGCGAGATAAAGAAGCGCATCATGTTGATGTGGGCTCTCTGGTCTCTTTGCTTTTGGTGTTCCCCCCACCCCCAACCCCGGGCCTCCCGTCCCCGTTTCTCACAGGGGTCAGCGCCCTGGTGAGTCATGGACTGGGTCAGAGCAAGGATTCTGGGGGCAGATGGATGTGGTTCTTGTGCTTACTGGCTGTATAACCAGGGGCAAGTTACTCTTTCTGAGCCCTGGATTCTTTATCTTTAAAGCATAGGCAATTAGGAGTACTTTTCTTGCAGAGGTGTTACGGAACTAAGTGAGAAAATGCATGTAAAATGCATAGCGTAGTACCTATTCGTGGTATAATATGCTGCTATGAAGGACTTAATACTTAACATGCAGGTATAGAGTAATGCATTGGTTGTTAACTGTAATAAGGGTATTTTCCCAAATCAAGGCCTTCTTTCACAGAAGGATCTGAGGTCAGTTCCTTAGAGCCACTTACTGCACATCTTCACAGTAATTTATAGAGATGACGTTTTATCATTGTTTGGGTTGAGGCAGAACCCCAAGTTTAAAACAAATAAATGTTATCATCCAAAATTATGGACATTTGGGCATCAGGCGTTGCAGGGGCCAGAACGAGAAACGAGGGTGGGAGGGGCACAATGTACTTGGCACATCTTCTGCTGGTGAGCAGGAGCGCCGCTGGCATGGTGAGAGCAGGGGAGGAGTGGGAAGCCAGCTCTAAAAGGAGCTGCGTGGGGAGCTGAAGCAGCCATCCTACGGCCTGGAAGACCCAGGAGCTTAGAAAGGCCTGATGGCTGGCGGTTTGGATCCAGCACAGAGGGCATTTTTGGCCACGGAAATGGTTTAGAATAAGATAGAAAGCTGATAGGAAGATGGCATACCCGAAGACTGCTTTTAATCATATCACTGATGATTGCCTCCCATTATTCATCTTTCGCTTTGTTCTCCAATTATATATTTCTTCGTTGTGGTATGTTGTTCCCCTAAGTATACCTAGGTGGTTAGAAGACTTTTCTTCACCATTGCTGAGTGTGGACAGAATCATAATGTCTCATGACCAAAAAAGGTCTAAGGAGATGATAGTCCAGTCCCATCATTTATACAGCGAGTGGGGAATCTAATCGTAGGGGGGTTAAATAATAAGTTTGTTCCAGAACACTTATGTCTTCATTTTAGTAAGTTATAGTCACTGTTTTGCCTCCTATGTACTATGAAGAGTATAGTGGAGAGTGCCTCATGTGCCTACTATGTGCCAGGCACTATGATAGTTCCAGAAATACAGTTTTGGGCAGACAGTGTCAGCCCTATGAGCTCAGGTTCCTAAGGGAAACAGACCTTAATCTTCTTTCGTATGTGAGTACCACTCTCATTCTTAAATGATGTTGGAAAGAGATTCCGTCCAAACCTTTTGCAGGTGGGGTGGCCACTTTCCCCTTTCATGACCTGCATTCTGTCAGTCCTGTTGGAGTAGTGGAGACCATATGAATATCGTGTTGGACGGCACCCTCTATGCCGCAAATGGTGCAAACCTAACTCACAATCTAATCAGAGGGGAATTAGTGGCTTAATAACCAGACCACAGGAAAGGCAGGGGCAGAGTTGATTTTAAGAATGACTGGAATGGGAGATTTGGGGTCTTTTCCCCCCACACTCTTGCATGTTGAACTCATTCTGTCCAATTGGCTTATTCTGTGAAATGGGTAAACGGCTATTCCTGTCTAGGGCCTCCACAAGCTGAGAGGGAAGCAGGTCTTCGCTGAGGTCCCGCTCGGAATCTTGGGGCAGGACGCCAGGTTGGAACTTGTGACTATTCCTTCAGCCAGTCAGTGTGGCCGGGGGGTGAGGTCCTCTGATCCTCCATGTATCACAGACTCACCCCGTGACTGGTGCGTGCTGGGGAATCCCAAGAAGGGCAGTTGGCACAGACACGGCTCCTGGGTAGACCGTTGGGTTCTAGACTTCTAGACAGTCCTTCCAACTGCGTCCATTCTAGGTGGGTGCAAATGAGAACTGAATGAGTCTTCAGGTCTCCTCTTTGCATTCTGTTTAGGAAAAATCTTAAGTCCAACTACAGCTCCGGTTTCTTTGCAGTGTCTGGGAACCATGTCATAGGAGGACTAATTGAAGGCACGGATAATATTTAATAGGGAGTTGGGAAAAATAAAGAGAGATATAAAAGTTGTCTTCAAATGCTCAAAGGAGGAAGACGTGGTGGATGCAGGAGACTTGTTTGTGTTTCTCCCAAGGACAGAACTAGGGTGGGTGAGAAGTGACGGGGTAAGGATGTCGACCCTAAGTAAGAAAGAACTTCACACAATGTGCAACTGTCTAAATAAGAATATATTAAGAATATTCTCTTCTGTGAAGGGACATGCTCCACAGCAGCAGAAGCTCTAGGTATGACCTACTAATTTGATGCAAAAGAGAATCCTTCCAGGGGACGAGCCCAAGGCTGTATGGCTTTTTATGTGAAGGTCTGCATTCTCATCTAAGCCGAGGGCAAAGTATCTTTCTCCTCTCCTGCCCCATGCTGGAAAAAAAAAATCCCACAAAACAAAACAACCCTCTTCCCCAAAGAAAAAGGATTATAAATGAGCCACACAGTTCTCAATC